GGGTTGGGTGGGTTCAGCGGGTTGGGTGAAAAATTGCCACCCCTATTCATGAATCCCTCACTCAAGAGAGAACATAAAGCAGCATTTTCACAACACATTATTTGCATGGTCAGAAGACAGCTGGCACATTTCTACTGGGGATCAAGCAATGGATCTAGCTTATAGGCAACTATTCCCAGAATAAGCATGAAAAGGAGACAAGCTCATATGAGAATGGAAGTTCACTCATTGAGGCATGGTAATGAGGATTGAAGTTCTTACTTCTACATCATATCCAAAAAGGTAAACTCCATTTAATTTCTAAATTTATTCGACAGAGTTTCTCCTAACAAAATTGATCAACTAATCAAGGTGCATTTTAGTCTTTAGAACCACTGAAATCAACTATAGGCTTGGAAATTTCCTCCTTAGCGGGAGCCAAATTGTTAAGAGGCAAAAGTGATTACTACTATCGCTTACCAAGAATTAAGGAATACAGTATTGTTGGGAAAATGGTTATGGAGGCTGTTGATGGAACAGGATAGACTGGCATAGAGTGATTGTTAGCATACATGGATTGGTAGGACAATAGTTGGGATGCGGGTCTGACCCTAGGGCTTCTCAATGTTCTCCTTGGAAAGCTATTCATGGTATCTTGCCTTCCATCCTTCCATATTTCAAATTTGATGCCTATGCAAGAAACAAATTGTTGTTTTGGGAAGATGATTGGGTTGGAGATTCCCCTTGGAGCCTGTTCGGGTTTTTTTTTTGGGGATTTTGAGAAGGGGGGAAAGTTGGTCAATGGGATTTTGATTCCCATTCACCAAGATACCCATTTTATTTTTTCAGATTTATCACTTAACTTTCCCACCTGGGGATGAGACAAAATTGTCCATTTTAATAATGGCTTTTTATGGCTAAAATGGTCATTTTCCTATTTACCTGAGAAATAAAAGAACATGGATAAATGCACTTACCTGAGTCAAGTAAGTGCATAATGTGCATTTACCTAGGTAAGCAACTTCCCAAAAAGCGAACGGGGCCTTAGAGATAAGTTCCCTACTATTTATTCCCTTTCAGAAAACAAAAGAAAAGTGAACTCTTCAGTTTTTATTGATAATTTATGGGATCTGGGCTTGAGGAGAGGGTTAAGGGAGTTGGAAAAGGAGATGATGGATGAACTTGTTGCTCTTTTAGGGCCAGTCTACTTGGGCCAATCTTGCATAGATAGCAGAATCTAGAAACCTTCCCCTTCTGGTTTTTTCACTTGTTTCTTTTTCTATAATGTCCTCCTTCAATCCTC